TTTTTTTTTTTTTTTTTTTTTTTTTTTTTTTTTTTTTTTTTTTTTTTTTTTTTTTTTTTTTTTTTTTTTTGTTGAAGTAAAATGGTAATATATATTTTAAATTATATGATATTACAAAATAATAATTAATCATTAATTTATATGATACTATATATTTGTTCAAATCCTTCCTTTTAAGTCTCTCGCTCTCACTTAGGGTAAGAACTACTTCTAATTTCTTGTAAAAGCTAAAAGGGTAAGAACTACTTCTAATTTCTTGTAAAAGCTAAAAGGTAAGAACTACTTCTAATTTCTTGTAAAAGCTAAAGTCAATCGCAAATAGATACTGTCCTCTTATAAAAGCCAAAGCCCATCGTAAATAGATATGGTCCTTTTCGGCGAGTTCAAAGAAAATTTATATAAAATGTTCCGTTTCTCTCTCTAATCGATGGGAGATCTCAAAATCCAATCCAATATATGTATAACCCAACTTCAAAAAGATTAACAAAGACTAAATCGTAAAGAAAAATGAAGATCCAAAAGGTAAAATTTATATGGACTAAAAATATGTTCAAAAAAAGTTATGATGATCAATTATGGGTGGCGTTTTGAATACATATCCTCGTTCTAGCTTAGAGCTCATATGGAGAAATATTTTAAGATAACACTAGATTAGAGAGGAAAGTAAGTACAAAATAACATCTGGGTTGTACAAATAATGAAGGAAAAGAGGGTATGCAAAACAATTCGACAAGAATTGGAACCTTAACGCTTGGAGAATTGTGGGGCTTTACGGGCTTTCTTGAGACCAGCCTTCTTCCTCTCCACAACCCTAGAGTCCCTTGTCAAAAGCCCTTCTTTCTTTAGAGGTGATCTGTGATCAGCGCTCACCTTTAGCAGAGCACGAGCAATGCCAAGGGAGATTGCCTGAGCCTGGCCGGAGAGGCCACCTCCTTCGGCTTTTACGAATACGTCGTAGCTACTTTCATATCCCAAAGTTAACAAAGGAACTTTCACATATTGAAGCCACAATGGATTTCCTTGAAGGTATTCCTGCAACACATTGTATATTCCAACCCAGAGGTGAGCACAACTCTCTCTACTTAAACCACACTCATAATTTGAATGGGGTTATCCAAGCATCAATACCAGGAAAACCCAATAAACATTCAAGGCAAAATGGCATCCTAACAAGAAATGAAACACACTTGGTCACTAAATTTTCTCAATATCTTTACATATTAGAGCACAGATGTAAATGAACGCTGGCAAACCAAGGATTTGCAATGTGATCTAACATCATCAGAAAGTAAAGATTCCCACATGTGATGGAAGTGGAAGAACAAAAGCACATTTTCACTCCCAAATCCACTGAGAAAGAATAAATGAACTACTCGATCCCCCTAATAGACATGCCTTTTAGCATTAAGAACCATTCCACTGGAAACTCAAACTCAACTTGTGACTGATGAAAACACTTATTCCACAATCCCTTTGAATTTGGCAGCAAGCAATGGAATCTAATCCATGTTCAACATATGAGATGAAGTACCGAAAGCTTAGAATTTAATTACTCGTTAAGAGACTTACATGCTCCAGAATGTAGATAATGTTGTTCGAAGTTTATTCCACAATCTCAATTCAATACAATAATTGCTGCAGATCAATTATAAGGCCAGTGAAAAGACACTGAATAATCACTTCCATCTCTAGATGGTTCAAGAATTTGCGCATCAAAGACAGAAATCACGATCCTATAGTTACAATCTTCGGTTTAATCCAAAAAAAAACATTCGCATTACCATTAAACGAACCTAGTCGAATCCAGCAGAAGAAACAACAACCCTAAATCGTCCAAAGAACATCCACTGCCAAAAATAGTAAAGCTAAAATGGATGAAACCAAACGCAAGTACACGAATAAGGGAAAAGATAGAAGACCTTAGCGTCGCGGTAATTAATAATAACTTTGCCAGTGCCTTCTTGGAGAACAACGCGAGCAACGGCAGATTTCCGGCGGCCAGTGCCAATCAGCGTTTGCGCAGCGAAGCCACCAGGGAGCCTCGATTTCACATAGTTCTTAAGCTCCGCCGTCTCCACTGCGGAAGTGGCGGAGGCAGATACCACGAGTGGGGAATTGGATTTCGGGTGGGAAATTACAAGAGATTTTGAGCGTGGAAAGGACAGAGAGTTTGGCATCTGTGATACTTGGGAAGAAAACGAGAGAGAAGAGAGAGAGAAAGCGAGGGAGGACACAGAAGTAGCCATTTTCGTGCTCTATCCAGAACGAAGGTAGCTTCTTCCAAAAATTGAAACTGCGGTGGATGTAGAGAGACTGGTGAGCAGGTGAAAGGGGATAATGTGTGTGAATTGACTATATTGTCCTTAAATACTTGATAACGCCCAATTCTCAATTTACTCCTCCATAAAAAATTAAAAAAAAAAAAGTAATTTAACAAAATAATTGTAAGAATAATTCGATAATTCTTAATAACATGTTTGAAATACTTTAAAAAAATCATACTTTAAAAAAAAAAATCAAATATTCAAGTTAAAATATTATGTTATGGAGTGCGACTAAGTTAAAATATTAAAAATATCATACCAAACAAGTAGGGTATGATAATACTAAGTTAAAATATTAAAAATATCATACCAAACAAGTAGGGTATGATAATACTATAGGTTGTGTTGCCGAAGAAAGTTAGCGTCGAGACGGTACATGTCTATTACCATTGAACTAAGCACGCCTGCTGAAGGGTTATACAACCATGAGCTGCCATACAATATGATCAATTATTGGACAAGAACCGACGATGGAAATGGCCCCAAAGAATTGTGAATTAAACTGAGACTGAAAGCAAACTGTAAAAGAATGTGATTCTTTCTCTCTTTACATTCTGAAAATCTTTAAAATGATCCGAGGTTAGAGAATTACAGTATACATTACAAAGATTTCTCAATTTTCCATCATGTCGTTCTCGACTCAAGCTCGATGTAGCGCCATGGATTGGACATCGGTTAAGCCGTTCGATTCTGATGTCTTCTGCTTGTCTCTCCATTTGACGTAAACTCGAACCAGAAGTGAATCCATTGTGCTCGAGTCCTTACCTGCCTTGATTATTTCATTCAAAAGCCCCACAGATTGCTCAATATCCCCTCGCTTACAGAGCCCGTGTATCAAGGTGGAATAGGTCACAGATGAGGGAGAAATGCCTTCTTCAGTCATTCTTTCCTTCAGTTTAAAAGCCTCAATTGTTCTACCAGCCTTGCAATATCCATCAATCAGAGTATTGTATGTAACTACAGTGGGTGATAAGCCCTTCTGTGGGAGTTTACGGAATAGGCTCAGAGCTCGATCGAGATTACCCGACTTGCATAAACCATTTATAAGAGCATTATACACATAAATATTAGGGACAAGACCTGCCTTTATCATGTCATCTCTTAAACAAAAGGCCTCATCGACTTTACCAGCAACAGAACATGAATGGATTAGGGAACAAAATGTGTAATTATCGGGATGAAAGCCTCGAAGTAACAGATCGGACAAGATTCTTCTAACATCATCGACCTTCTTAGATTTGCATATCCCTGCAATTGCAACATTATATATGATATTGTTTGACAGAGGGATGCTCGTGGCATTTGAGCCAAAAGAATCCATAATTTTCTGTGTTTGAAGATGTCTTGGACCAGACTTGGTCAATTCCATAGAACATGAACGACCTACAACAGGATCAATATCTGCCATTTGATGCAAAATCAAACTTGCTTCGTCGATCTTACCAAGTCGATATAGACTACTGACAATTTTGCTGCCAATAATAATATTTGGTGCAATCCCTTTGTTGATCATCTCAAAGTATGCACTATATGCTTTGTCCATCATTCCTTTGTCACACCAACCTGCTATAAGTGAGCCATAAGTTACGACATTGGGAGATAGATCCCGGTCCGCCATCTCAGCTAGAAGACCACTCAATTTGTGTAATTCTTCAGATTTGAAAACACCAGTAATAAGAGAATTGTACATTTCAATGGAAACGCCGATTCCC